TGAGGGGAGGGGGGCGAGGCGGGCGAGCCCCGGGAGCGGGATTGGGCGGGCGCAGAGGGACGTTCCGAGCCTTTGCCCTCTTCTGCTGAAACGGAACTGCTTTGTTTTCTGCCTGCGCATCGTCCGGTGCCCCCGGCTGAGGATCCCCGTTGATAACGGCCTGCGCTTTGCGGTGCCCCGTGTGGCTCTGCAGTGCTCTGAGAAGTAATCTCGGTAATCCTGGGCCATCTGGCCACCTCCTCGGTAATCTGTTTTTAATCTGATTTTAACTCTTGCGGAACCTGCTAGTGCTTGGCAGAAAACCTTAAAGCCCTGCTTTATCCATCCATTGCTTGGGGTGTCTGTCAAAAACGTGTTGATAGGGCTGACTGGTAGAGTCCTGCAGAGGTAAGGATGAGCCCAAATCAACTTACTTTATTAAAATTGCTTTTTTTTTCCTTTTTCATGAATCTTTATGGACACTTAAATGTAGTTCATGCATCACAGGTCCACAGCCCTATATCTCACTGTAGTGGCACTCTTTGCCCCTCACCCAAGAAAGAATAGTAATTCTCAGGCATTTCCCATCAGGATGAGATTGTTATGCATTTAAAGTGGGATCTTGTGCTGCATATTTGAATAAGAGAGACATTTTTTATTTTGCTGACTTATTTATTTTCTAGAACATCATGACTGCTTTGGATGACAAACTGCTTGGTGAGAAGCTCCAGTATTATTACAGCAGTAGTGAGGGTGAGGACGAAGACAGCGAGAAAGAAGATAAAGAAGGGGACAGCACCGTTCCTGAAAGCGTTGGGGAAGTAGAGCTTAGCAGCGATGGCAGTGCAGTCAACACAGGTATCATCATATCAAACTAATTGTTTTGTGAATACGTTGTTTATTGGAAGATTCGTGCGTTTTTCTAATTTTTTTTTAAATGAAAGTCCAGTTTTTATGCATACTCGTGTCAGAGATTGATCATTTCCTAGCTATAGTCTAACCGTGTTTTAATAGCTGGTTCTTTATTTTAATGTTTGACTTCTTCTCTGAGAGACTTCAGCATTATATGTAAAGCAGTTGGGCTTGGTATACAAAGCTGATTTGTACAATTTGATTGATAACGTGTAAATTTCTTTCTTGTAAGCCATGCAGTTATTAACCACTAACAGATAGGTGCTTTGGGTCAGTTAGGAGAGTAGCCTAGTTAATAAGGTTTAGTCTTCTTAGAAAAACAGACATAAGCTGAGGGACATGGCAATGGCAAGTTGCATCTTTTGTTTCGTTTCAACATTTTGCATAGTATACAGAAAGTTTATGACAGGGCCACTATTTTACTGCTGACTTATAATTTATTACTTGAATTTTAAATGATAGGTGTAGTTCTATTGCCTTTTTATACCAAATGCCTTTATATTCAATTTCAGGACCCAAAGGAGTCATTAATGACTGGCGAAGATTTAAACAACTGGAAACTGAACAGCGGCAGGAGCAGTGCAGAGAAATGGAGCGACTCATTAAAAAGCTATCTATGACATGCAGATCTCACTTGGATGATGAGGCCGATAAGCAGAACCAGAAGGAGCTTCAGGAAAAAATCAATGGAAAGGTAGCATGGCACAAAGGAATTAAAATGCCGCTTAAATGTTTAATATTTTAAGTTTTATCATTTGTGTATGTGAAGCAGGTAGGAATCCTTGTTCTAAATGAAAAAGCAGCTACAGTTATGTCAGGCCCAGTATCCAAATCAGCGCTCATACCTTAGTGAAAGCACATGGCCACTGTTAAGCTGAATTAAGGTGGGAGCACAGAGCAGCCACTTGTGTTATTAACGCAGCCTGTGGAAACTAGAATACCTGAGCCTGAAATCGCTGTTCCCACTGGCCATGGTTTCTAATTAGATCAAAATGGAGTGTAACACAGAGGGTGCTTGAGCCTTTATGGGTTGCACTTTGCTGTTATTAAAGATGAGTGACCTACATTAATCCTCTTGATTTAAATTCTCGTTATATAAGTGACCCATATAGTGGTGCAGATCTCTTTTTCATTTATCTTTGTATGTGTTTCTTAGATGACATTACAAGAATATAACATGATTCACAATGATGAAGATGATGAGGAATTTTTACAGCGATACAGGAAGCAGCGAATGGAGGAGATGAGACAGCAGTTGTACAGTGGGCAGCAATTTAAACAGGTTTTTGAGATTAGCAGTGGAGAAGCGTTTTTGGACACGGTTGATAAGGAGCATAAGAGCACGCTGATCATGATCCATATTTATGAAGATGATATCCCCGGCACTGAAGCCCTGAATGGCTGCATGATCTGCCTGGCTGCTGAGTATCCAGCGGTTAAATTCTGCAGAGTAAAGAGTTCGCTCATCGGTGCAAGCGCTCGCTTTACCAGTAACGCGCTGCCAGCGTTGCTGATCTATAAGGCAGGTGAGCTCATTGGCAATTTTGTGCGAATCACTGACCAGCTTGGAGAAGATTTTTTTGCTGTAGACCTGGAGGCTTTTCTGCAGGAATGTGGTTTGCTTCCAGAAAAAGACCTGGTGCTCCTGACTTCCATACGTAACGCATCTGCGTGTTACAGTGAAGACAGCGATCTGGAAATAGACTGAACCACTTACACCAAGGGCCAGTAGGTGTAGTTGTACTGTGGGATATTCTTGTGCCAGGGACAGTTCCCTTTCTTCCATAGCACGGGTATGTGTTCTTCCCCTTCATGCACTTTGTCTTTTGATCATTAAAAATTTGTTTAAAATAACATAAGGTATTCCTAACACTTTCTTAAATTAATTCAGTAAAGTGAATTTGTGTGTTCACTTACAAATAATAACAGCCCCTGACTTTGTCTAAAGAATTACTTTTCAGCTAGAGAGAGTTCTTCTTCATTCAACCTTGCTTGAGACTTCCATGATAAAATCTTTCAATTACAGCTCTCAGTACATTCTTGGGTTTTAAAATATGCTGCCTTAGAGTTCATAGTAGTCACTTCATCAGGAAATGATCTCTGCCTCTTAAGAGAGAGACTGTCTATTACAAGGAGCTCCAACATGTGTGCTGAATAGCATCAAGGAGAATTTTGTTGGCAAAATGCAGAGTTGTGACTTGAATAACCTCAGAATTTCATATATCTAAAATTACTAAATCAGTACTAAAGTTCATTTCTGTTTGTGTTCGTGTTATCTGCCTCAGCTGGGCCATCAGCTGTAGTCTGAACATTAATAACCCTGGACCTGACAGATGACTGGGTGGCTTTGTGGGAAAGCAGCCTTGAGCCAACAGACCAGGTCATGAACACAGGTGTCCGGTAGCCGGCCCATTTTTTCACAGCTGATTCCCTCATCTGAAGCTCAGTGTTCAGCTTCTGCACAGGGTTCAGCA